TAGCGGGTGTAACTGTTATTACTAAAGATAATCACCACCCCATGCTGAATAGATAGCGAAGAGAAAGATTGACGAGAGAATCATCGACGAGAACCCACGAAAGCCTCATTCTCATACGGCCATCTACACAGTCATGATGCCACTCACGTGTGTCCACACACTGACAGGTGTACTGGAGTCGCACGAATGGGAAGGATGGTTTCTCTCAACTCACTCTTCCAGAATGAAGTACCTTCTTGCAAACACCATGTTGGCCAGTAATAACCATTCCAAAACGACATAGAATCAAAAATGCCATTTCAGGTAGCAAAAATGCAAAAGGGATAGCACAACCTGGTTTCGATCCAGGGACCTCTGGGTTATGAGCCCAGCGCTCTACCCCTGAGCTATTGTGCTTGAGGTAATCTGTTCGAATGCAGACGATTCTAAGCTTGGATGTTTGGATTTATGAACCTCTCAGCAGGTGTGAGTCATCGTGGGTGGATTCGCCCATCCCCCACCAAACGATTTTGATGGGCTGTTTGGCGTGTGTTCTTAAGCCGCTGTTTTCCGAGAGCACATCACCTTGGCGACATCACTTATCGGAAAAAACTTGCAAGAGAAGTCAAGTATCTTGCGTAAAATAGACGACATCTTTTTGGTCTAGATTGGGATATCTATGTAGCTAGTGGGCGGGCCAACACGCCTTGGTATATTCGCAGGACATGATATTCATGAAAAATGCACAGACTTCCTTTTCCCTCCAACTCTCAACTCGTTTAACTTAGAACAGCCAAGAGAGGAGATTCTTGTAGATCCAACCACCCTTGCCGCCCTTGCCACCGCTGGCCTCCTTCTCGGCAGCCTTGCGAGCCAGGAATTCCTCCTCCTCGCGGTCGATGATGTCCTTTCCGGTGTAGAAGTCGGCCTCGTGGGGCTTCACGCCACGGGTCTTGTAGTAGAACTTATGACCGAAGATGAGGATGAGGTAGAGGGGAATGCCGAGGTAGCCGGTGATGAAGGTCTTGTACTTCTCCTTGCCAAAGTCGCCGCCGGTGAAGACGTCATAGTTCTTGGTGAGGGCGATGATGATGCACAGGAACAGAGCGCCGTAAGAACCCCAGATGCCGACGGGGGCGACATAGGGAAGGATCTCGTCGGGAATGTTCTGAGCCTTGCGAGCCCTGCACCACCAGATGTGAGTGACGAGGATGGAGATCCAGGTCAAAAGACCGAAGATGGTGGTGAGATTGACGAAGTAGCCAAAAATTGCCTTGGAGTCGTTGGAGACGTTCATGAAAGCCAGGAGGGCGAACATGGCGGAGAAACCGAGGGCGTAGATGGGGACACCACGCTTGTCGGTGCGCTTGAAGATAGCAGGGGCAGAACCATCGGAGGCGAGACCATAGAGGGTACGGGAGGCAATGTAGAGATCCGAGTTGGAGGCGGAGAAGACGAAGATGCAAATGCAAGCGTTGATGATGTGGGGAATGACCTTGACACCAGCGAGCGTGGCAGCGACGACGAAGGGGGAGGCGGAGGCACCGGTCTGGGACTTGTTGGCGAAGGCGAGATCCGGGGAGTTGTAAGGGACGAGCATGCCGATGAGAAGGACACTGAAGCAGTAGAAGAAGAGGATACGGTAGAAGGTGAGCTTGATCGCGCGGGGAATCGTCTTGCGAGGGTTCTGAGCCTCGGCGACGGTAACACCAACAAGCTCAGTACCGAGGTAGGCGAAGGTGGCGTTGACCATGCAGGACCAGAAACCGTAGAAGCGGCCGGCATCACCAGTGTCGATGTACTCCTTGAAGGCACTTGAAGTTTGTTAGCCATGAAAATGGGTTGATCCAAAGGATGTAAAGAAAAACATACCCAGGGTTCTTCCAGTAGCGGAATCCCTTGCGGTCGTGGTCGGGGCCACCGCCCAGAGCCAGGACGAGGGAGAAGATGATGATTCCGACAATGGTGACGACCTTGAAACTGGAGAGCCAGAACTCGAACTCGCCAAAGAATCTGATACCGAAGTAGTTGATGCAGACAATGGCGACGAGGAAGATGGCGATGAAGACACCAGGGTTGACCGTTTCGCGGCCTACCCAGAACTGGATGACCAAAGCAGCGGCCGTGAGCTGGTTGGGGGTAACGATGATGTACTTGAACCAATAACTGGGAGGCAACGTCACAAGTCAGCACATGGTGCGGGGAGAAGTGAGGTGAGAAAAGCAGGGTTGTTGTGACTTACGTCCAGCCAAGGGCAAAACCAAGCGAGGGGTCGCAGAATCTCGAGGCGTAACCAGTGAAACCAGCAGAGATGGGTAGCCAAGCAGCCATCTCACCGAGACCAGCCATGACGAGGAAGACGATGAAACCGACGAGAGTGTACGAGATGAAGACGGAGCCGGGGCCGGCTTGGGCGAGAGCCTTGCCGGTTCCGACAATGAGACCGGTACCGATAGCACCACCGATGGCAATCATGGTGATGTGGCGGGCCTTGAGACCACGATGCAGCTTCGTATCCTCGCTGGTCTCGAAACCACGGATGTGGACATTCTCCTTGAGGTTATCGTCGAAGGTCTGTGTTTGGTAGCCCGTCTTCTCGATGTCGTGGCCGCCGTGGGCGCCCTCCGAAGAGGACGTCCGCTTGACAAGGCCGTCGCTCATTGTTGCTGTTTGTGACGACGAGTATCGTACACACAAGATGGGAGAGGCTCTGCTTCTGAGATTGGCCGAAGACAGAAGGAAGGGATTGACAACAGAGAGCTCTGGGAGCGAGAGGGATGGGAGAGAAGGAAGAGCAAGAAGCACATCGACGTAGGGAGGGGGGTTCGAGGTTCTTTAATTAAGATTTCAGCGCCGGCTTGCGGGACCAGGGACGGAGGCGCGATAGAGAGGCTGCCGCATTTGAGGGAAGGGTAATAGGTAGCAGCTCGCATCCCGTTTCGACTGACACCCGGCGGCGCCATACCAGCGGGCGAGGCAAGACAGGCAGATCAGAGCTGTCGCTCACACATACATCCCATGTCGCTCGCAGGTTCGTGGGCTGGACCTGGCCTAGCTTGCTTGGGGGTCTTGATGGAGCCTGCAAGACTGGGGACTGGCGTCGTGCGCTAAGATACACCCGTCAAGGATCCCTGCAGGCGTCGCCGAGTGGTAGTCGGAGACGGATTGGCTTATGGAGTTCTACGCGGTTGTTTGACTGTTGGTATTACCTTTGGGTGTTGGTCGCACTATCTTTCGGTATCTCTTTTGCGTTGCGTGTACGGAGTACATGCGTGCCCATTATGGAGACTACGGGGACTAAGGTACCCGCACCACGTTCGCGGTTCTTCGCAGGCTAGGCCAAGTGATTGTGGAGAGAAAGGTGAGTAAAGGCCGTGTCTCACAGGCAGATTCTCCATTCTCTGGTGTGCCAGTTCCAGTATCCCTCAGTCAGAACCCAGTAGCACCGGCCGGAGGAGGGGACTGAAGGATGAGTGAGGGGAGGGGGATTGTGGTGGAGAAAAAGCCTGTCTACCGGGGTACGAATGGGCCAGGAAACGACAGTAAGACAAGGATAGGCTGATTCTCTACACTAGATGGAGGGGAGGCGTGGCAAGGGTTCACTTGTCTTGCGCAAAGGAAGCAAGAACGAGGGCAGCACGGGCAGTTGTGGTTTGTAATATCTGTTGGCTGTGATTGGGCACTCGAACGTTGCGTATCCAACGCCATTCAGCCTTGGCGGGCATCATCAGTGCAGCAAGATGGATGGGTGGTGGCGGGCAAGTTTGGAGAAGTGACTTGGAGGTGCGGAGGTGAAGGAATACCGGTACTTACTTCGTAGAGCTTCATCGGGAGGACAAGTTGAGATGAAGAGGATGGGAGAGAGAGAGATACGGATACTTGGCAGTCAAAGTCAATCCTTAACGCGGAGCATCGTCAACCGCCGAGCATGAGTCGTGAACTCAAGTCAGCTGTGCCTAGAAACTGCCCAGCTGCCCAGTCCTTCGCGAAGCCAGTTCATGCCAGTCTTACTCGCTGATATGAAGAGTTGGGGAAAGCTTAGACGTGACAAGCAAGGAGGACGAGCCCTGAGGTACCTGTTCAAGCGAGACGGACCCCTGGCTCGAGATGGGCACGATCGGTGGTACCAAGAAAACACCAAGACAATGGCCGAGTGCGCGGGATTCCTTCGACGGCCGGACGCAGCAGGTCAATGTGCCAGATTCCAGTTCGGCCTCGTCGCTTGCAAGAATCGAATTTTAGAATAACGCCCGCTGAGTGAGCAAAGCCGCCAGGTGGTTCCCTCCAACAGCAGCAGCAGCAGCAGCAGGTTTACTCGAGAGATTTGATCCAGATTGTCAGAATTTTCACCGTAATATTAGCCGTACGGACTACGCGATGATGCTTATCTCTGGGGCAAACTCAGTTTTTCCTCACTGTTCCTCTTTCTCCCGATTTATCGCGAAGAGCGGGAGATCAACAAGTCTTTCATCACGATCATGTTACAAGTCTGCCGACTACGAGACAGGTAGCCTGTAGGTAGGCAATCAGTCCGCCTGGCCACCCGGTACGCCTTTTCTTACCCTACACTTTACGCTAGTATCGCGCAAGGCAGAGAGACATAGACGGCGTGTGTGAATACGCAGACTCCAGCTGTTTCTGTCTCACAGCGTGGGTGTCTCGGACACGGATAAGGCCTACGACAACCAGGCACGCCAGGACAGGGACCACCACCTCGACCATCTCTCGTCAAGTCACAGAGAGCCAAGAGATAGAAGGCTCACGCGATGGCCATCTACTCGGGCAATCTGCGGGGGCACCCTCAAGCCACGATTCATACCGTCACGCCAATCACCGCCGATGGCTCGTGCCCAGATAGGCTGTTCGCTCGCTGAATCGATCCGAACTGTGCTGCTGCTGATGGACGGAGTATTACTTGCTAATCACGCTGGACAGTACTGGGAGAGCCTAGCGGGATTCCTTGAGTCGTCGACCCTGCAAGAGAATGAACCAGTGTTCACGAGGCACAGATAGATATCGGCGTGGCCGTCTCTGCCCAGTTTCCATGATGTGAATCTACCACTACTGCACTGAAGCATCGACCGTTCGTCGCATCAAGTCGCATCACTGACATTGACTGACTCTCTGACAGCCCCAGACGACAAGACCAAGTGGTGGCTGCGTCTGCCAAAAGCTTAGGATGCGCGCCACTGCGCTATCTGCCCCGTCGTGCCCGTGTCCAAGAAACGTCAACGGCTTGTCCATCTCTTGAATCGCTTGTTGCTTCTTGGAGTCTCAACCTCCCGCAAATTAACCCACCCGTTGCTAAGCAGACAGGATGTGGGTAGAGCCGTTGGAGGACGTCCGTTCCAAAATTCCCAGTCCTTACTCTCATGTACCCTTCACGATGTGCCCTCCACAAGTCACAACAAGGGACCAATGCCCAGACCAGAGCAGAGTGATGAATACGTACATGTTATGTGAACCTTTTAGGTGTTCAGCTTCACCAGCGGGTCGCCAAATAAGTCTAATCGCGACGCTGACACTAACGCTTATTGATAATATCGTCCGCGTGGGCATTCCATCTTACGTTCTAGAAACGCGCTGCATCTCCCACCCATCCACATCATCCCTCCCAAACCTCTCCCCAACCACCATCTTCCCTGCCGTACTCCCCCCTCCATCGCTTCTCCAGCTGTTGCCTCGTCCACTCAGAGCCTTGCTCTATCTCCCCGCCAAGACGTTTATCTCTGGCCCAAATAAGCAGGTCCTTATCTCCTCCACATGGCCCCTGTACTTCTCTTCCCTGCCTCGGGGCGGGAACTGGCCAAAGGTTGAGCATGGGTTTGCCCGAGCTTATCCTCGCCCTTGGCTAACTCTGGCTTAGACTACCGATGGGCCACCTCGGATGGCTTGGGACGGTTCGGCCACTTTGCCCTGTCTTGTCAAAGTCTGCCAAAGTCAATGGCTGGAATTGTCTTGTCTTGGATAAGTCGTAAAGTTGGCTCACGTTCCCGTCTCGCAGTTCTTTGCCATACTACCTGGCACAGCCGCAAAGAAAGAAAAAATCTGCCAGCATGTTTTGTTTCTTGCGAGCCGGGACTGAATGGCCACACGGTCGCATTAGCCCCGCGAGACCCCGTCGCTTTGCTCGGGCACTTGGCCGGATGCAAGTCCCCTGCCCATCCAGTTAGTGTGCGTCGTACGAATGGCAGAGCGTCCTGTCCTGCGGGAACCATTCCCAAAGAGTCGGCAGCGTCTCTCCCACATTCCAGCCCAAATGTCCATTCTGCATTTCTCGGGACTCTCTATCTAGTATCTGACTAGCTGGGGCGTCTGGGCTGACTGGGAAAGGTCAGCAAATCTTCCAGCTGTATCCGTGTCAATGAGACTCTGTTTTTGACTTCGACTGCAACTGACGAAGCTCTGGAATGGCGGCGCCAGGGCAGATTCGATGTTTGACTTCCATTACGCTAATTTGGGACACTCGGCCGGATCGCATACCGAAGATGGTAATGTTACATACTGTTCCCCTCTGATTGACGAAAACAGGCCCAACAGCGCCAGATGCGCCGTTGAACTCAGAAATCCACTCACAAAGTGCACAGCCATCCGGGGGGAAGACCCTCAGCCTGTGGTGCTTGGCGATCAGTGCATCTCTGACAATTTGGGCACCAGCTTGCAAGCGGACAGACAGTCACAGTCAACAATCAACAGCCAACAGACAGTCAGACATCAGCCTGTCAGACTGTGATCTTTTGCCGCCATGATCCATCCCGTTCCCCAAGGTCCCCATCCTCCGCAGACCGCAGGAATACACGAGTCCCCAAGTCCCGGTCCCGGTCCCACGCGTTGGTCGAGAATGCAGGCAGCCGACTCGAGGCCGGTTCGTCGTCATCTAAAAGGACCCAGCTCGTAATTCCCGACGTCTGTCCAGGCGCTGCAAGATCTAGGATAGCGAGCGGGACAGAGCAGGGATATTGACTTTGGGATCCGTCGGTGAGCAAGTTGACGGCTATTGAAGTTGTTTCCTCTCCATTGTAGAGGCTACCGAGCAACTTGTGACGAATTCCCTTCCGTCACCGCGAAACGGGGACGTCAACTACCGTCCAACCAGACGGTACGATTCGGTGCGACGATTCGGTGCGATGGTCCCCCGGGACGATGTGCGGGCGTCTGATATTGGTATCCTTCTTTCCCCTCCTCCTCCCCCCGAGAAAATCGAAACGGCCTCCGCTCCGGCGCTTCGCAGAAAGCACGAAAGTACTCCGTAATCAAATCGCGCCATTCCCAACGCGCCTCTAACCCGAATATCGTGCCGGATCAGCTTTGCCAAGAGCCTCTAGATGCGGTATTTTCCCCATTACTGCTCCAGAGACTCGTATGCCCGCCTCGATTTGATAACTTTCCGGCCTTGGCCCGGCTACGCGCCTCGGACAGCCTCCTAACCTCTAGGCAAACCAGTCTGCCGGTGGCTTGCTCTAGTGCTCTGTGCCGGAGGCTGCAAAACACAAGTTGAAGCCGCACTAGACTCTCTGAGGATTCGCAACGGCGAGAAGACCACGGAGTTGCTGAAGACTCGAGTTGCTTTATCAATGTGTTCATTGTAAGGTAGTCAATTATTAGCAAGCACAGAATCGCTATACAGATCCAGGTATGATTGACGACAATGTCGCTGTTGCATCGCAGTCGAATCAATTGTCGATGCAGTCTCCTCTGCAGCCTACTGCACAGTCGAATAATCGCGAGTCTCGGGATGCTACCCTGCCCTTCCCCTGCCAACGTATCTACGGCTACACACGGCCGACACTATTTCTAAGTCTTCCTAAGTGCCTGAAGATGGCTAGGTATCCCCTTCACTGGCGTCTTCTACACATTTTCTAGTGTTTCCACGACCGCCATCGCCGAGGGATTAGTTGTTTGTCCCTTGGCACACCGTCGCAAAGTTCCAAGACATGGGGAAAAGAAGTTCTCCGAACCCTCTTTGCAGAGGACCACTTTTCCCCGGCTCTTCCAACTGCTCCCTCTCGAATCAGTGATACCTCGGATTCACCCCAGATCAGACTAACCAGGGCAGCGAAGGTGCGATATGGAAATTCCCATGTGCGTTCGGTAATTCCAGGCCTTCTCCAGGTATCCAATGGCTCTTGGGAAAAGCTTGGGACGAACGCACAGTTGGGGAATGGGAAGCGATGGGGTAATGGACTGGCACTAAGAGATAAATTTCTCGTAAGAGGTTTGCATCCTAGCGGAACCTCTTAAACGCCATTCATCTCTTGAGCAGACACTTTGGCCGCCCAACGATCAGACCAATTGTGCCATTTGAGTATGAGAGATTCCATTACGTGAATTGGCGGGGAGACTCGTGATTCCGTCTCTTGGCTGTCTTGATTAACCTGGGGTATGGGGTACGCGGGGAGGGGTTCAGAGGACGAGCGGGAGGCCGAGGCTCTGATTCCTGGTTCCTGACTCTTGAGAACAATTTGACTCATGCTGCGCAGAGCAAGCAGGTTTCGCAATCTTCGCTAATTGAGACACGGAGGCTCAGTTGTGTTCCGTAGCTAACGAATACTGCCCGACCCCCAGAGTTGAAGTTGACCACGAGATGCGGTCATAGGAATTCAGCCTCGGCCGCTGCCGCCTTACCGCAAAGAAGGCTGCAAACGCCAGCTCAAGACAGCCTAGATGCCTTGACTGCGTTGCTCAACGGACACATTGCTAAGCGTAAGGCTTCTTAGCGCCATGCAGGATAGGTACGGCATTCTCGAGGGCCTCCTCGCTCCCACGGCCAGCTCCGTTGCCGATCAGCTGAAGAGAGTCAGTTGCCGCTACTCAAGCCGAAGAAGACATCTCGGTTTTTCAGTATTTTAAGCATTAAGGTGGTCCGGCGGCTTCCGCAAACTCCTAGCAGGTGCTTGGCCTACATGACCGTCTGGGCCGGATCCAATCATGAAGCCTTGGACTCAGCCTCAGAAGCATAGGATGCCCAGACTAGATCCGCAGACTGTTGAACTATGAACAGTCAATGTTGCATGTCGCAAATGTCTGGCACGTGGAGAACGGTTGGAAGGCCTCGCATCGAGCAGGGAGTATCATGTCACGGCAGATAATTGTCCTACCGATATTGTTACATGTGATACAGCGTAAGATGATTCTATTGTCGTGACCTAAACCTCAGCCTCTAACCCGAAGCTAGCCAGTGTACAGCATGCCAGCAACGCTCGCAGACGTGAGGGTCGAAAGTACGCCGGCAAACAAGGCAGACAAGGCAACTCGTGATACATCACCAGCGCGTCCTGGGGCAATCTGCGAGAGAACACCGATCTGAGTGCCGAGAGAACCAATGTTGCCGAAGCCCTATTGGTTTTTAGTCAGTTTCATGTTACGTGTAGGTTGACGACTCTATTAAGAGTGTACTTACGCAGCAAGCATAGGTTGCAATGAGTCTGGAGCGAGGGGACATGGAAACGTAGGGCTCAACCTTGCTTGACAGAGAGTTGAAAGCAACGTATTCGTTAGTAATGATCTTGATTCCAATGAGCTCTCCCACGGTGAGCAGATCCTTGTTGGGCACTCCCAGACACCAAGCAACAGGGTAAAAAACGTAGCCCAGAATAAGCTGAAGGGTCAATGGCGGGTCATCGATGCCCAGGAACTTGCCGAACCAGCCGAGGATGCCGTTGATGAGGGCGACGAAGGAGATGATGCAGAGAAGGGTGGCGACAATCATGCCAGCCACCTTGATGCCGAACCAAGCTCCGTTAGCAAAAGCGTGGATGGCGTTGGCGGCCTTTTCTTCGTCCTCCGGCACCGTGATGCTACCGCGAGTGATGCTTTCCTCCGTCTCTGGGTAGCGAAGCTTCGACACTGCAATACTTGCCGGAATTGACATGACGCAGGACGAAACGAGGACTTGGGCATCGAGGCCGAGGCCGATGTAACCAACAAGCACTGATCCCGCGATAGTCGCAAAGCCACAGGTCATGACCTGATGGATCTCTGCCAGCGTGAGGTACGGCACGAAGGGCTTGATCAGCATTGCCGATTCACCTTGCCCGACGAAGGGGGTTGCCGTCGCCACCACGGCTTCGGCACCTGAGACGCGGAGGGACCAGAAGAAGAAGACGGCAAATTTCTTGATGAACCATTGCAGGAACCCACAGTGATAGAGCAATTGAACGAGCGAGATGAAGAAAATGATGGCCGGGATCACAGAAATGAGAAACCAGGTCAGAGCAGATACTTCAGTCGCCGTCAAGAACTCGAGACCCTCTTTTGCAAAACCCAGAAGCGTCCGGGCCATCTCGGAGATGAAGGCAAAGATGTCGTAGCCGACGCCTGTCTTGAGCACGAAGACAGCGATGATAAACTGTGTGAGCATCCCGCCAATGACGGTGTGCCAGGGAATCTTCCTCCAGTCGCGAGAGGTGAGAGTGAGAAGACCAATCATGAGAAGCAGGCCGAACAGACTGATGGCGCG